TTCCCTTCACTGGCTGCACTGAGTGCGGGGATCTGCTGTCGTTACACTGGGACCCCGAGACAGTGGCACAGGACCACACCAGCCTGCTCACCCTCCCCGGGTTCCCCGGACCACTCACTGGGGCACTACCGCAGTCCTTCACAGCCACCAAGTCGTCCTCAGGCTGAGGTCTGTGTGGCCCAGGATTATCAACTACCTGGCAGTGTTTCATTCTCGTTAGGCCATCGAGTACGACTCATAGCGACCCGATGAACAACAGGTCTGCCCCCTGTCCTGTCCTGTCCGGTGCCGTCCTCACCATCTCTGACACATCTGAGCCCACTGCTGCAAGTCACTGTGTCAATTCACCTTGTCGAGGGTCTTCCTCTCCTTTGTTGACCTTTCTAAGCATGATGTCCCTTTCCAAGAATAGCCTCTCCTAGCAACACGCCCAAAGCAAGTGAGATGAAGCTTTGCCCTTCTTGTCACCAAGGAAAACTGTGGTCGCACTTTCTCCAAGACAACTGTAGATAAATGTTGTTGTTGTTGTTGTTGTTAAGTGCCGTGGAGCTGTAGGCGACTCATAGCGACCCTATGAATGAAAGTCCTCAACACTAGCGTGACTTTCATCCTTGCTCCAGGTTCATAGGGTTTCCCGAGGCAAGCTATTACGGAATTGGATGCCGCTCCTGCTTCCAAGCTTGATTTAATAGGGGAATTCCACCAAACACCGTCTGCCATGGGTAACCATTATCGCATGTGACACATCAGTGTCACAGTATTCAGCTTCACAGCGACCACAAGTTACCTCTGTACAGCAAATGGACACATCAGGGCTATATGACCTTTGGCTTGGTAGCATCATATAGACCTTTTTATTCCCACCACCACCAACAACACACACAATCTCCCACCAGGACACACAAAAGGTGTTTGCCACATAAAAAAAAAACAACTAATAAAATGAAACAAAAATCCACCAGTTGCCCCCAAGTCACTTCTGATTGATGGCACTGTGTCTTTGCAGAGCAGACCTGACGCATTGGGTTTTCAATGCTGTGACCTTATGGACGCAGATCACCAGGCCTTTCTTCTGAGGCACATCCGGGTGGGTGATCTGAACAGCTAACTTCTCAGTTAGTAGACGAGTGTTTACCAAATATGCTACTGCTACTCGCAAAGTAGGAAAGAGCTGGATGCTCTCTTACCCTCGGGACCAGGGGCTGGCAGGAGGGCTGGGCCTGGCTCCACCAGCCTGGAGAGCTGAGCTGGGAGCCGGTGTGATGGAAGCAGCAGACCTGACCTGGAGCTGGATGCCCTGGGAAGGCTCCGGCCGGCCAATCACTACGGGAGAGTCACTGAACTTCTGAGCTTGACTGTCCTCATCTTTGCAAAACCACTTTCCAGATTAACATGTTTTAAGACATCATAACGCACTTTCACCCCATCACAACCAATACTTACCAAGTCCACGCTGCATGCCTGGTCACTTCGGAAGCCGTGGACCCAGTATACAATGCAGATGTTAATATCTGCTAATCATTTTTCCACTGTCTCTCCCTTCCCTGTCTGCAAAGGGACAAGGTCAGACCTTCCTACCACTCAACTGCCCACGCGGAAATCCGTCACTTTTTATCCAAAACGTACAGTGATGCCACCGGGCCACATGGGGAAGACATGCAGCCAGCTTCCCCCTAGAAGGGGGGACGGCGAGAGCTGGTCTGCAAAGGACTTGTTATCAGGAGGGACCATGCCTTGGAGAAAGACGTCGTGCTGGGTAAAACAGGTCAGGGGAGGAGAGGAGGACCCTTGAAGAGACAGACTGACACAGCAGCTCAACAAAGGGCTCAAACAGAAAGGCAATCTTGACAGTGGTGCAGGATTGTTGTTTTGTTATTGCTATTGTTTGTTACTGTTGTTGTGAGAGGCTGTTGAGTCAATGAAGATTCATTGTGACTCTATGAATAGATGGAAACCTTGCCCCCGCCCCGCCCCGCAAGTCATCCTCACAGTACCGCGTGCTCAAGCCCACTGCTGCAGTCCCTGGGTCAAAATCAATCTCGCCGAGGGTCTTCCTCTCTTCCTCTCTCCCGCTGACCCTCTGTTTTTCCCAGCATGATCTCTTTCTCCAAGAGTTGACTCCACCTGACAACATGCCGAGAGGACTTGAGACGACCTTCACGATCCTTGCCTCTCAGGAGCAGCCCGCTCTAAGCAGCAACTCTGAGGCTGCACTTCCTCCGAGGGAGACGTGGTTGTTCTTTGGACAATCTGAGCCCTGGTGTTTACAATTGCTTTGCACACCTCTGAGAACTGGACAATGAATAAAGACCAAAGAAGAAACAGTCTCTGAAGCGTGATAAAGACCAAAGAAGAAAGAGTCTCTGAAGCGTGGGTGTGGCGATGCTGCTGCACTGACCTCCGGAGGGCTGCCAACAGCTAGGACCGGGCATGATTTTGTTCTCTTGTGTGTGGGGTTACTGTGAATCGGGCTGACTCAAAAGCACCTAACCACACAACCATCCTAAGAAATGGGTCCCCACGTCAACATGCTCAGACTATGTGATGGAACTTGACTCAGGGGCAACAGAGCCAGTTCAGGACCAGTAAGTTCCCTCGGTTCCTCAACACCGAGTATGTTCCCTCCACAGATGGTGATAATTTCAGCTGCAGATCAGCTTTACACAAGCCCCAGCACACACCGGCTCAGCCCACATCAATACCTTCCAGCTAAGAGAGCACGCTGGGGGGAGTCAACCCGCAGGACACCATGGCCACCCACTGGGTCACCAGGACACCTGAGTTGTCTCAGGACAGGTGGGTCTAGCTTGAAAAGGAACATCAGCAATTTCACCACAGTCTAGGCTTTTCTACCCCCACTACGTCCCAGACAGGTGTCTCCAGAGCATCCTGAGGTGAGGGAGGCTGTGGGGACAGCGCGCATGCTGTGGGCCAGGCGCTGAGGGTAGACACTGGCTGTCAGAAGAGAGCAGAGCCAAGCTACGTGTTAGAGGCAGAGCTGGGCCTCACTCCTGCTTCATCTACTTGTAAGTCTCACGACTTTGGACTGCTCCATTGGTCTTTCCTGACCTGGAAGATGGGGATATGCCCTGCTGGTGAGGGTGACGGCAGGACTGTCACCCTGGCACGTCTTCCTTTCCTCTGCACACGTTCAGAGCCTCCTGAAGAGTCTTCTAACAGCCCTGGAACAGGCGTGGACTATTCTACCCATTTCACAGCTGAGCAAACAGAAACCCAACTCTACCAGGTGACTTGCTGAGCACGTGGGTAGTTAAACCAAGTGATACCCGGCCAGAACAAACCCTCCAAGGGTTTGTGCAAAGGACTTTCAACTCATCATTCCACCAGGTCCTCCACAAAAACACTCCAACAAGAGATGGGGCCAGAGCTGAAGCCAAGCACCTCCCTGCCTGAGGCCTGGACACTGTCCATGCCCCTAACTGCCTGCTTGCTTGCTACATCTGAGAATTTTCTGTTTAAGTGAAAATTGTCTGTAGCTCAGGACAAATAGACAATGGAGAAAAACGGCACCTGTAGCAAGCACTGAAGGTGTCCCTGTGCAAAGATCTGATGCCCATCTCTAGACAAGTTTGCCATAATATCAGCTCAAAGATGTCAAGTTCATTCATCTTTTAGTGAACACATCATGGTCCTATATGAAAGTAACAACACCCTGCCTTGTTTTCACTGATGAAAGGAAATCCATCTATATTATGCCCAAGTCATTTGTTCCCCAGGCTCTACTCTTTCCATACACAGCTGAGCAAGATCACCCCGTCCACCTTGACCCATGGAGGCTCTCAAATGTGAAAGGACTGGTTTCAATTTGCTGAGTGAGCTCTCAGAGCCAGTGATGGAAACTTCCATGGTTAATAGACATTGCTCAGCGGTCTCCCCCACCCCTGCCTTTCAAATGGCACCCAGGGTGTGCATCATACCTGCTATGCCTTAGATACACCTTGTATACAAGATGCCACCCCTGTATCAGACTCATGTCCCAGAAGAAGCTGAAAGAGAACAGCCAAACTCCCTCAAAAACAAAACAAAACAAAGACACCCACCGAACAGAATTTCAAATTCTCCATGGAATCCAGAGTCTCTGGATCTACAGAAGCTGGGTAAGTCTCTGAAAGTGTTGCCGTGAAACAATCTTCAAATCTTAAACCAACTCTATCCCCCTGGAGTCTTCTGTGGACCAAAAGGGGCAGATCGTCATTAGCAAAGTTTGTCTGCTTTGAGCATTGTGCTCTTTTAAAGGATGATCTAGGCCAGGTCTGATCAACAACGCAACTCAGAGGTTCTGACAGGAGTTTAAAGCCCGTGAATACAATGGTGTTGGAACAGGGGAGCAGGAACAACTTACAGACGTGGTGACCAACATCAAGAAACTGTACATATAGAAATTATTGAAACGGCCTCTCTTTGGTTTTGATTTTAACTAAAATGTAAACCTTTAAACAAACTATCTCCTAGGGTGAGTAGAATCCATCAGCTGGAGTGTTACACCCCTGGGAATTTCCATTCCAGAGAAGGGGCCCAGCACCCCAGAGTGACCTATCCTATCTCCTTCCATGTGTGTCCCCTTGCTGGCAGGTCACCCTAACATGCCATCAGCCAGTAACAGGCCCCTGATCGGCTACCCCTAGAGTCCAGGCAAACAGATCACGGTGAACGAAAGTGAAGCCAACAGCGGCAAGGGGCACACAAACAAAACTGGAGAGCAGAGAACACTTAGCCTCGAGGAGCGCCGTGAGAACAAAAAATAAATGTTTTACACTCTTGAATGTGACCTTTTCAGTTGTTGGATAAAGAAAGCACTTGAATTGCTTAGCAGCATGGCTGATTAATGTGTGTACGTTACCTTTCCACAAGTGCCAGCTACCCTTTCCCGCTCAGGGGCATGAAACCACCATTCCCAGCTCAGCTCAGGCTGCTAGTACACACGATAGCCCATCTCCCGGTCAGACCCGGTGCCACGGGTGAGGGCATCTGTTTCTTACCAGGGTCAGTGCAGTTCTTGGTCACTGGTGTCCCGTTCACTGGTGCCATCAGCTTTCTGTTCCTCCACGTGTCTGGCGGCCCTTGTTTGCTAGCAGGAGCTGATCTGTGCCCTGCAGCAAAAAAAAAAAAAAGAAGGCAATGTAGCACCCATATTCCCAAAATGGCTCTGCGTGTGTGTGTGTGTGTGTGTGTGTGTGTGTGTCCAACAGCCCCATCTGAAAGCACCTGTGGAGAGGGATACACTCTTTAGAAGGGCCTCATCTGCTTACAGACAGCCATCTTTCTTGAATCTGCTCTGGGTTTCCCCTCTAGTTCCAGATGAGTCAACAATACATAATGTGACTTTGGGTAAGACCACCCTAAGATCCTCAGAGGCTGGATCCAGTTGTCTGGAGGTCAACTCCGACACCAGGTGACCATCACAGTCGAACTGTGTTCGACAAAATTTTCAACAGCTGGTATTTCTAAGAAGATTGCCAGGCCTTTCTTCCAAGGTGCCTCTGTATAGTCTCGAACCACCAACCTTCCAGTTAGCAACTGAAAGTTAAGCATTTGCATTACCAAGAGACCCCAGGGTTCAGACAGATGGCCTTTCTGTAAGTTTTCTTCCAACAAGCACACTCAAGCAGCCCCACTATCTGTTAGATAGTGAAGTTCTATAAACAGATAGTGAAGTCAGCACACAGGGAGGGAGGGAGAGAGAGGATCTCGCTCAGTGATTCTGACACGCAAATGTGTGCACAGCACTTGAGGATGGTAAAATGCAAATTCTAAAGGTCTAGGGTGAGACTGGAGACTAAGCTGCTGACCAGATCCCACCCAACAACGATGTTCTGAGGGTCACACTCAGATGAAAGGGGGCACATTCGGATGCCAGGAACCAGTTGAGTGTAAATGAAAGGTAATTCCTGATCAAGTAAATGCAAAACAAGTCTCACTCTGTGACCTTTACAGAATTCATTTCTTCTCCCCATTGCACATATCCTCGGCAGGATAATAACGTCTCTTCTATTCTGCTGACATCAAAGAGCCTCTCGGTATTTTGTTATTTCTGGTGTGCAGTAATTGAGGGAAGAAAACACACCAACTTGTCCAATTGCAACACTCCAGGTATTAAGATGTTCAAATAACCTTTCTGGGTTTCTCTTGCAAGAGGCATATTTTAACCCTATAGTCACAAACCCAGAGTTTGGTATTTGAAAAGCAGTATAAGTATTTTTAAAAGTTCAAGGAAGTTGCATGTTGCTTTTTACCTGTCACTATAAAGCTCTGGCCTCTAGATGTTCAGACCTTTTTGATGGCCAGGAAGGGACGACAGCGTTCTTTGCACTCCAGGATGAGGTTGCTAAATCATCTACATTTCTTCTTTAAATTTTAAAAACAAACCAAAAAGATCTGAGGCTCCAACTCAAAATGAGAACGGTGGGGAAATGACCGTCTTCAGAAGGTTACCGACTCCAGTGGTCCCACAAAAGCACATTTTTGGTTAAGTTTCTTTACCTCTCCCTCTCCATCTCAAATTTGCATCTCCTGAGGGAATCCCAACTCCCAGGTCTCTTGACAGAGGAGGAAGAAGAGGAGAGTGTGGATGGAAGCACCTTCTCCACGCAAGGGTGTTACCCTGGAGCAAGCCCCTGCAGGCAGAGCCTGTCCCACACTTTCAGGATTTGAGGGGGCTTCGAGAAGGACACCCAGGGCGCCCCTCTGGACGTGGACAGGGGCAAGGAAAGGGTGGAGAAGCAATAAAGTTCCCACCTCTGAATCTGGGCTTTTGAGGGACACCAGACACAACCCTGGCCTTCTTAAAAGGAAGATAACAGGCTGCTCCACTTTCCCCTTTCCATACCAGAAAAATCCACTTTTGACCCACTGGTGCCATGACCCATCCCTGTGCACCCCTGGGACAGGACATGGGCCCCAAGTGGCCAGCAGTTTAGGCTTTCGTCTTCACAGTAACAGACCCACAGCCACGACTTAAGCCCCCAGGGGCCGCATGGCAGCTCAGGGGAACCCGCGCCACAGCTTAGAGGGCAGATATCAATCCTCCTGGGTGCGCTCTACGTGCCCGGTGGGGAGGGGACTGAAAGGACCTTTGAGACCAGCTGGCGAGGAGGGGGAGAGGCCTTGGAACTGCCCTGCCAGCTTCTTAGCCCAAGTCCTCCAACTCCCGGGGCAGGGGTAGGAGCAGCAGGCACCCAGCACCTACCCAAGCTGCCGAAGAGGCTGGACGCACAGCATACCAGGGCCAGCACCGCGCACACGAAGCCAACTTGCTGTGGCAGCATCTCTCGCCTCCTACGAACTTTGCGCGGCCGGAGGGGCCCACGGAGCGCCATCCCGGAGCGCTCGGGTGCCGTTCCCGCGAGGCGTTGGAGACCTTCAGCAGCGGTAGTCCTCTCTTGGAGCTCAGCAGAGCTGGGGCTGGAGCAGGCGCCACGGAGCTTAGAAACGAGGGGCTCCGGGCCAAAGCCTCATGCCCCGCGGGCAAGGTCGATCAGAAGCCCAAGCAGGGAGAGGGCGGTGAGGCGCGCGGCAACGCCGGAGCTTAGGGTCCCGCGCGCGGCGTGCGCGCTCCGAGCACCATGGCTCCGGGGCGAGGAGGCGACGCCGGCGCGGTGGCGCTGGCGGCCCTGGCTCGCAGGGCTGGCGCAGTCCGGGCGCTGGAGCCGCTACCTGGCCGCTCGGCGCGGCGCGCTCGCCCGGGGGCGCAGGTGGGAGCACTCAGTGCGCCCCCGCGGCCCGCGCCGCCGCGCCCGCTCGCAGCATCCTCCCCCTCCAAGTTTGACGGCGGCCGCGCAGCGCGCTCGCGGGGCTCCCCTGCTGGCCGGCGAATGAGCCCGGGCAGCCGGGTCCGAACCGGGGCTGGGAGTGGGCTGGATGCGCGGGACTTGTGCACTGTCGCCACAGGCAGGCTCGTCGTTGGCCTCCGAGGGTGAGCTCTCCCTGGGAACTTTGTCTCTAGCTCCTGGCTGCGGGCGCCTGCGTCTGCGAGGCGGCGGTGCCTCTCCTCTCCTCCCAGCGCCCGCCTCCCTTCGCTCCCTCCCTCCGAGCACGTGTATTCCTCCCCTAGGGCGCACTCACCCGCGCGCTCCTCCCTCCCTCCTCCTCCCGAGGCTCAACTACTGACCGGTGCCGGCTCCCTCCTCCAAGCTGCCTCTCTGCCTCCTCCCCTGGGCGGCCGAACCCAGCCTTTCCTTTCCCCTGCGAGGCAGCTGCAGAGAGGAACAGGTAATGGCACCGCCCGGGTGTCGAAACGAAGGTTTCTGCAGAGCAGTCTCCTCTGTCTGCGCCCCCCAGGTTCCCCAATGCCCACACCACCTCCCCGGAGAGCGCGAAGCACGAAACAGAAGAAAAGCCTAATGGTTGTGCGGAGCCAACAAGCTCCCGCGCCCGTTGCGCGCGTCTCCTGCAGGCCTCCAGGGGCGGGGGCGCGAGGCCGACCTGCTAAACGCCGGCGAGGTTGCAGAGACCTGAGAGTTCTGGGCTCTGCCACAGAGTGGAGCTTTAGATAACCCGGAGCCTGGCCGCGGTGTAAAGCTATCTCGGGATTTTGTTAATATTTCTCCTTCCTCCCCTTCACTGATCGGCTCTCTAGAGGAAACACACAACCCCTGAGTATGTGTAATCCAGCTGCAGACAGGTGTACTCCAACTGCAGCCTCCCGCTCCAGCTGAGGGTCAGTGACAGCTCCTGGGACGACTCTCTGGCCTTCGAGTCCTTTCATCACGCGTCTGTTTCAGGTCTACTAGGGGTTAAGTCCACTTAAATGGTTTTTTGGAACCAGGCCAGGTCTGTTTAATTAAATAAATACATACCCACTGTGTGCAGGCTCTGTGCCATGGGCTAGCTGGGAACAAAACAAAACAAACAAAGTGGGTCAGACCCAGTCCCTGCTTTCAAGGAACCAAAAGGAAAGGAGAGCCAGGCCCTGGGATAAAGGTTTTTAAGTAGGGTGGGCTGGGAACGTCACTTTGGCAAGATCTCCGTCTGTTCTCTTCTCATCAGAAGGTGTCCTGAGGGCCTGGGCCCCTCCTGGGATCCTGTAGAGGTGGAGCCTCACTGAGAGAATTTGCAGGGTCCCAGGATCCCAGGCACACTTAGGGGAGAGAAGCCCCGCCCTTTTGAGTTTGTCCCAGGGCCGCTAGCCGGTTGTGTGATTCCCTTTGGACAGAGCTATGCTCACCTAGCACAGTGGTGGCACAGCCAAGAGGCGCCAAGCCGGCCAGGGGAGGAAGAAGCTTCCTGAATGCTTTTCAGCAGTGCATGCAATGACACTGAAGACAGGAACCTTAGAGGGTTCACTGTGGTGGAAACTTCTAGAGGGAATGAGATGGAAATGGCCTGGGTTGGCATCAGGGCGGGCACATCATGTAGCTCCTGCTTTGTCTTGAGACACACACCTCCACCTGTGAGCACTTCCAGCTCTCTCCTGCAGTGACCGGAAAGACAATGTGACAGAATTGACTTCCCATTAACCACGCTGTGCAAAGCTGCAGTCGTCAACAGCAAGTCTAACTCTGTTGCCATTGTGTGGGGACTGACTCCTAGCTGACCCTCTGATGGGTCTCCGAGGTGCTGAAAACCCATAAGACAATATTAAACATGACACTTGACGGGCTAACCGAGGACCCTCGGCATCAGATCATGTTGAAACAATGCTGCACTGGTTCTCTCCCTACGTGATAGTCAAGCTGGTGAAACCAACTCCAACAGACCAAGTGATACATCCTCACTAGGATTTAATAGTTTCTCAAGACCTTTATCCATGGAGCTGACCTACAGCTGGTGGAAATAGAAATGTTTTCAATCCCAAACAGGCCCGAGGCATCATTCGGTGCTGATCTGGAGACGTTTAACCAGCTCTCGCCTAGAATTCTTCTTTTCTTTGACATTTCCCTCTCCACCTGCTTGCAGTCAATACCTAGACCGCTTGGAGTAACTTTGCAGGCACAAATGGATTTCTTTTATTTGACAGCTTAAAAAGCAATTTGCTTGAAATGATCCATTTTGCTTCATTTAAATAGTGCCCATTATCAAATAGCCTGGCTGCAGCTCTCATGATTCACAGCAGAACAGAGAATAGGATTACGTATCGTTCCAATTCAAGAGCACATTCCCCAGGTGGGAAGTGAGTCCCTGCGTTGATCTGGGGCCCTGGGTCTGAGTCCAGACTCAGAGCCAGGAGACTCAGAACATCTTCTGCTCACACAGGCGTCCTCCTGATCTGACTCGGATGAGAGCGGCTACAGGTCATCTTGGTTTAGCTATTTGCATAAGTTCACGCTGTAAGAGAGGGCCAATGCTGGGTTGGATTTATCCTTCCCTCTCCACGGTCAACACTCTTGGCACCAGCAGTCAGGAAATCAAAAAGCGTATTGCGATAGGAAAGTCTGCTGTTAGGGACCTCTCTCAAGTACTCAAGAGTCTCTCTGGAGACTAAGGTGCACCTGATACAGGCCATGGTCTTTGTAATCACTTGTTATGCATCAGAGAGTTGGACAATGACTAGGGAGGACAGAAGGAGAATTGATGCCTTTGAGCTGTGATGTTGGAGAAGAGTATTGAATATTCCATGGACTGCTAAGAAAACAAACAGATTCAACCTGGAGAGGATTAAACCAGGCTACTCCTTGGAGGCAAGGATTCTGGGGCTTCGTCTGACATACTTTGGACATGTTGCAAGGAGGGACAGGTCCTTGGAAAGGGACATCATGCTTGGGAGGATGGAGGGACAGCGCAGGAGGGGAAGACCCTCTATGAGGTGGATTGATTCAGTGACTGGGGTAATCAGGATGGGAGTGTCAGAGACAGTGCGATTGGCACAGGATAGAGCAGGGTTTAGGGCTGTTGTACATAGGGTCACTATGAGTCGCAAACGATTCAACGGCACATAACAACAACATGAAATGAAAACCATTACCATCTAGTGTGTCGGAGATGTGAGGATGGCGCAGGATAGAGCGAGGTTCAGGTCATCTGTTCATCGCGTCACTATGAGCCATACTTGACTCGATGGCACCTCACAACAACCATTTAGTACATTTTCGTACTCAGTTTTTAACAGTTTACTGACTCAATCTTCTCCAGGATACATGTTGTGCTAAGACTACCTGTCACAGTGACCTATAAACAAGAGATTGGGACCTTGCTGTGTCCTACACCATCCTCACAACCTTCGCCCCCCCATGTCACAACCCCCCACGCCCGTGTCACAACTCCCCCAACCCCATGTTCAGGCCTGTTATTGTAGCCACTGTGTCAGTATATCTCACAGAGTCTCTCTCTCTGTCTCTCTCTCTCTCTCTCTCTCTCTCAGACCCTCTACCTTTTCCAGGATGATCTATTTTGTCCAAGGACTGGCCCCTCCTGACAACATGCCTGGGTGTGTGAGATGCAGTTTCACCATCCTTGCCTCAAAGGAGCACTCTGGTCACACTTCCTCCAAGACAGAGCTGTTCTCTTGGCAATCCATGGGCTTACCAATGCTCTTCACCAGGGCGTAGCATAATTAGAACTCAGAACCACTCTGTTTCTTTATGGAAGCAGACTGCCACATCTTTCTCCCTTGGGGTGACTAGGAGAGTCGAGCTGCTCAGTGATGGTGAGAAAGTGAGTGAATTTTTCAGAAGCACATCACCAGGCTTTTCTTCCAAGGTGCATCTGGGTAGACTCGTACCTTCAACTTTTTGGTCAGCAGCTAAGGACGTTAACCATAGGCACCACTCAGGAACTCAGAACTCAGCACATTAGATGCTTGATAAATAAAGGATCTGTTGACAGGGTAATTTTTTACTTCCATGTGAAGATTACGTATATGTATGTATATGTGTAAGTGTATGTATATGTATTTATCTGTATATGAAGACAAAGATTCTCACCAGTGGACCATTTGGCAGCATCAGGATGGATGGTGAAGAGATTGAGATTGTTCACAGCTTTAGTTTGCTTGGCTCCACAATCAACACTCTTGGCACCACCAGCCAGGAAATTAAGACATATTGCAATGGGAAAGTCTGCTGTTAGGGACCTCTCCAAAGTACTGAAGAGCAATGGTGTTTCTCAGGAGACTAAGGTGCACCTGATACAGGCCATGGTCTTTGCAATTACTTGCTAAGCATAAGAGAGTTGGACAATGACTAGGGAGGATAGAAGGAGAATTGATGCCTTTGAGCTTTGGTGTTGGAGAAGAGTATTGAGGGTACCATGGACTGCTAAGAAAACAGATTCATCCTGGAGAGGGTTAAACCGGGTGGCTCCTTGGAGGCAAGGATTCTGAGGCTCCATCGAACATACTTTGGACATGTTGTGAGGAGAGACTGGTCCTTGGAGAAGGACG